TCAAGGGCTGGACCTTGTTCATCAGCTCGTCAGCGCCGCGGTACGCACCACCCACCACCACCAGCAGCAGCAGTACCAGCCGCCGTTGCGGCAGAAGCCGTGGGTGTACGAAGTTGAAGGCGGGCCGGGAGCACAGTGGAATGGGCGCGGGGCATACAGCGTCGACCTGCTGCGGTCGGCGTCGTCGACCAGCGAAAGTCGAGCGTCAGCGGCCCCTGGCCACAGGATCATCCTCCTCGTCGCCGTCGGATGGCGGCGGTGGTGGGAGCAATGGGGACGCAGGCATGGCGGCGGCGGCAGCTGAAGAAGACCAGCAAGCGCTTTGGGCGGTGGCGCACGCGACACAGGATGTTGGTCAGGGGAGCAGCACGGGCAGCAGCAGCAGCGGCGGCGGCGGCACGGTGCACGGGCGGCAGGGCAATTGCCGCGCGACGAGACGTCTAGCCTGAGCTGAAAAGTTCCACCTGTTCACCTCATATGAAGAGAAAGACTCTACTGTTGGCACCGTAGATGAGGAGTCCCCACCACTCAAGACGAAGGGATCTGGCTCTGCAAGGATTCTTCTACCAAACGGTGTTGAAATTGTCATGAAGAAAGCATTCTACACACCAACTGCATTATACAGCCTCATCGCCACCAATGACATTGAGAGAGATGGGAAGTTCTTTGTCTCTATGGATGTGGATAAACCTGGCACCATATTCAACAGAAGCGACAGAACTCTTGTTAGTCGTTGAACCAAACGTCTAGGGCTCCACTTCCTCGTCACCAAGAATTCGAGACTTCACCGCCTCAGCCATGCCTCTGCCGCCATCATCGCCCTTGTCCACTGTGAACGCTACCCAAGCTCAGACAGGCCACCACCTGTCGTGAGCAAGGCCGAGAGGCTCCGGATTGCAGAGGTTGAAAGACTTCATCACGCCCTGGGACATGTCAGCTTCCAGCGCCTTGGCTACATGCTCCACCACCAGACAACAGCAGACCTACCGCCCATCGATGCTTCGTACCCCACAAAGTGCCAAACTTGTGTTGCTGCCAAGATGTGCCAAAAGCCATTCCCTGAGCGTGATGAGGAACAACTCCCATTTGCCCACACCCTCAACGTCGATGTCAACTCCATCCCCATTACTTCCTTTGATGGTTTCAACTATGCAATCACAGTCGTTTGCAAGAGCAGCTGTTTCTCTTGGGACATTCCTGTTGCTCGCAAGAGCAATGCATTACCATTTCTAATTCGCCTGATTCTCTTTCTTGAGAAAACGGAGGGACGCAAAGTACAGGTCATCCGATTGGATTGTGGCAAGGAGAGCTTCAATCGGACCTTCAAGTCCTTCTGCGACTCCCATGGAATTCAGCTCAAGCCGTCTCCTTCACACACAGCCCAGATGAACTCTGTTGCAGAACGCCACATCCAAACTGTCACAGACATGACCTGGTAACTTCTACTTGGCGCACCTAATGTTCCACTCACATTTTGGAGCTACGCTTACCGTCAAGCTTCACAAATCAAGAACTGCCTACCAAACATCCAGCCTGGCATCCTCTCTCTGTTCGAAAGCCGCCACCACATCCCACCAATGGTTGGCCACTTTCGCACCTTTGGCTCCAAGTGTTTCTACTGTGTTAGCCCCAAACTTCGCAAGAAATTCGATCCCAAGGGCCGTCCTGCTGTTTACCTTGGCAGTCCCTCGCACTCCATTGCTGTCCTGTGGGATCTCCAAGAGCAATGGATCATCTACCAGCGTTATCGTGACATTGAGTTTTTTGAAGATGAATTCCACCAGCTCTTGGGAGTTCACGCTGTGAGGGGGGGATTTGGGGACATAAGCGTTAATCTCCCTTCACTTTCAGACTTGGATGACCCTGCATATGAGAAAGCAGTTCAATCAATTGTAGAAGCAGAACAGCACCTTCACCAGCTACTTCAGCAGAAAACACAGCAGAAACAGTAGCGCCAGGGTAAGGGGGAGCACAGCAGCACACCAGCACCAGGACCAAAGAAGCGAGGTTGCCCACGCAAGCCATCATCACCAGTGAGGCTACCATCAGTGAGCATCTCAGCAGAGCCTCCACCACCAACAGCTGCGCCTGCACTAGATGTCGAGCAGGAGCCACCCCCCAAACGGAAGCACAGCACAACAAAGAAACCAGAAGCAGTCTCTGGGCAGGAGCCACTCCCTAAGAGGAAGCCAGGCCGACCAAGGAAACACCCAATTCCACCTGACCCAGTGAGTCACTCCAAACTTCACTAAACTAATTCTTTCTTTTCAACACCATTCCCTTTTCAAATTTCCTCTTCACAACCAAAACAATTCAAAACCATTAATGTCACCTCACGTCGCCCCACACTATTGCGGACAGGAAGCCTCAGCATCAGCCACTGCCAATGCCCCAGAGACCTTTCTGCCAGCGACGCAAGGGGCAGTGGGCCCACCAATCTGGAGAATTTGCCCAGGTCCAGCGCAGAGGCTCATCAGCAGGCGGGTCGGGATGGTGAGGGCCCCGCTTGGAGGGGCCTTGCGTCGCTGGACGTCTCAAGTCCTCTATCCGCAAGGTGTATTGACAGGCCCAGTGGTGAAGTGGACCCTGACACATCAGGCAAAGTGCTACCTGCTGACAGCGCCCCCTGTTGTGCAAGATGTGCTGTTTGCATGTGAGCCTGACAAGGACTTAGATGATAACAATATCCAATCAGTCTATGAGTCTGACGCTGATGATGAAGACAGACTCCTCTACGCCTTCAACGTCAACTCCAACTCGATCAAAGTATCCCCAGACACATACAAGGACCCACTGACACACGAGGAGGCCATGGCATCGCCTCATGCAGAGCAGTGGAAGGAGGCCGAAGAGTACAAGCTGGATATGCTTCGCAAGATGGGAGTCTTTGTGGAGTCAGCAGCTCTGCCTGACACCAACATTGTCAGCTGCAAGTGGGTCCACAAGCTTAAGCTCAAACCTGATGGCACCATTGAGCAGTTCTGTGCTCGACTTGATGCTCGTGGATTCACCCAGCAGCCCAGAGTCGACTTCACCCTCACCTACTTGCCAGTTATTAGAGGCAACACACTTCGTTGGATGATTGCCCTCAGCACCCTGTACGGCTGGGACATGGAGATGATTGACATCTCCTCAGCCTACCTGTATGGGATCCTTGACATACCAATCTACATGGCACCACCACCTGGCGTATCGATCTCCCCCAGACTAGTGTGGCTACTGCTGAAGGGTCTACAGGCTGAAGCAATCAGGATGGACTTGGTATTGGCGTCTAGCCCTCCACCTTCAGTCAAAAGGCTTTGCTCAGAGCCAGGCAGACCCCTGCCTCTTCTGGTGCCGGACCAAGTGCGGGCTCTGCTTCATTCTGGCGTACGTCGACGACCTTCCACTCTTTGGCAACACTGCTGCCATCAAGGAGGCTGTTGCGGACCTCAAGATGGAGTTCAAGCTTCGAGAGCTGGGAAAGCTCAGCTACATGCTCTCAATGGAAGTCATTCGTGGTTCAAACTTCACAATTCTCCATCAGACTAACTTCCTCTGGAACTTCCTCTTGTGCTTTGAGGCTAAGCACGGATCTGTGATACCTCACAATGCACCACTCAAGGTAACAACCAAGCTCACCCCTCGCAACTGGCACTCCAACCGACCCTAGTGAGGAGAGCGTCAACAGACCTGAGTACGTCCATGTGATTGGCAGCCTCAACTATGCTGCAACGTCAACAAGACCAGACCTGCCACTCAGTGTCAGCTTGCTTGGTTTCTTAGCTCAAGACCCGTGCATCCAGCACTGCCACAAGCTACTTGACATTGTGGGGTATGTCAAGGCCACCTCTACAGTTGGACTTTGCTACAGCTCAGACAGGAACAACCAAGTTGTTGGCTATCCACAAGGGCCGGACTCTACTTGGAATGGTTGACTCAACGAGAAACCAAGACGATACCTGCAACGTCACAAGAAACTTTTAGAGACAAGATCAAAATGACGTGAGGAACATATTCGACAAAAGAGTATCAAAAAGTAGGAACAGAAGACCTTGGACCACGCTGTCGTGAGGAAGGCGCAGCTGGCGCGTAAAGGGAAATCAGCAGGTTAGGCCCAACAGGGAGGGCACTGGACAAACCTTTCTTTACCTTTTGCATTCGGCTCTTCATGTTTTTTCCATTCCTACCCTTTTGAAGTTCACTCCTCAGCAGCATTTTCCCAGATATTTTCACTTCCTTTCCCTGCCACGGTTTTCCCACATCGGCCAATTGATTTGGGTTTTTCATCCAAGCAGGGGCTTCAAGCACTCTTCCCAGTTTCTTACCTCTGGAGGGTTTTTGTCTGAAGTCTAGGAAGGGCACGTGTGCAAGGGGGAGTGTTGGAATATGCCCCCGCGTGTGGCAATCGATACAGTAAAAAAAAAAAAGGAGGTTGATCACAGACTTGACTTGTCACACCCTCCGGCTCCTGCTCCCTGCAACCCAATCTCCCTCCACCGCACTCCATCACACTCGGATAGTGCCAAAGTCGTGCAAACAACAAACTGGAATCAACAGAAGGTCCTTGGAGGCAGAATGAGGAGATCCACTGAGGATGGAGGTGGAGCAGCTCAGGTTCCAAATCAATACAATTTCGCTATTTGTAACAAAAAGGGCCTTAACGGTTGCAGTGTGCCTCACCAGGAGAACGATCTTCCCACAATATGTCTGAGCAGAATTGCCATTCCTCCTTGAAAGAGAAAGTGGTCTGACCGGCCAGTAGAAGGGAATCGGGTGCTCTGGGTGAGAGTCAAACTCACGACCTTCGGATGACTGTGTGGAGTAGCACCTGTGTGACCAGGTGCGTCATGTATGAGACCGACGCTTTAACCAACTAAGCCACCAGAGCCTTTGCGCAGAATAGTGCACTCCATCTCTTATTGTGTGTCTGCCATTTTCTCACTGTTTTAATGGAACTTGGCTGGAGGATTCTCCTCATGCCACGCAATGAAGGTGCAAGTTGTATTAGCCTTCGCCATTCCCAGATCGTCAAACGGTCAAGATTCCGCCCTTTCACGGTGGTGATTGGGGTTCAATGCCCCGTCTGGGAGCCATCAGCTTGAGTTCACTTGCTGGACAGAGCTTCCACTTGGAGGCCCAGACTCCTGGACTCGCTTGGCTTTCACTTGACTGCCACTGGCTGCTTTTCTGGTAAGTTTCTCAGAAATTGAATACTCCATCACACAAGCCAGTTGACATAAATGAACAAGAAGGAAAATGATTGTTGACGCAAATTTTCAGACCCTGTCAATGACACAATCAACCCGCCTCTGCATTATGTCGCCAGGCGCGCCCCATGGATCCTTACTAAGGTGCTGCTCTAGAAGCAGGAAATGTAAAGCCACCTCTGAATCAATCTCATCTGGATCCGTTGCATGTACTCTCTGGCATGGGTGTGAGAATCTCCTACTCTTCCTGTGGCGCTTCAGGACAATCCCTGTGGAGAACAGGTCGAGACAAAATGTGGAACTTGATGTCTGGGTGTGGGGAAGCAGCACTGCGTGTGGCAGCAATCTAGCAGGATGCAATGGTGTTGTGGCAAATGCAATGACAAAGCAGCAGTGATGCGGCAACAGAAATCCTCCTTGAGCTGACAGGGACGCTCTCAATGAGCTCAAATTATTGGACACCCCTTTCTCCTCTGCCACTTAAAATTCCCAAACTGACAAAAAGCACAAACACACTCAGGCAAGCTGGTGCTTTCCAAATTCGCACCATTTCTTTCATGAAAACAAACCAGGAGAATCACCTTTTTGAATGATTCAAATTTTGTGTTGGGCCATTGGCAAGCCAAAGCCAGGGACTGAAGTTGTCTGTGGTTCAGTGCAATATCAGGCTGCTAGGTTTGGAGCTGCGTGCAAGTGGCACTTGTAAGTACCAACTGAAAGTGGCCCATAGGACAGGTGGGACAGACAATGTGGCGGAGCGGTTAAGGCGACTGTCAGGAACAGGGCAGGACAGGACAAGGCAGACAAGGAACTGAGAGGAGTGATGATTGTATTGGAAACAATAATTCACTTGAGGGATGGGACAGGTCCCCCATCCCCCTTTTATACCTTTTGAGAGTCTTCCTTGTCAAGTCCCAAAGAAAGTTCCAGAAAAAGCAATTAGTAATACAATGATACAAGAGTCTCACAATCTGTCCATTGAAGGTAGAGTGACACGAGCGTGTGATTCGTAGTCAAGCGTGGTAACCATTTGCCACACGCCCACAACAAATTAATTAGCGCTTTTGGCTCGTATAATTCCATTGCTATCTTATGACTTCCAAACACATGACTCTTTTGGTCAAATCAACCTCTCAGCGCTAAAACGCAATCACAGTTACCCCAATCCCATTCCCAAGATCTTCAGCAGTATGAAAAATACAGAGCCCCTGCCGCATCAGGTCCAGAGAAGCATAATCCAAGATCCTTATCAAAGGGGGAATGTCTGTACCCTCTTTAAAACACAGGCAATACAGATGAGGCAGATATGAGCCTGCTTTTTTTTTTTTTTAAATTTTTTTGAGCAGATATGGGAGGATTCCCAGACAAAATAGATATCCAGTACGTATCTTTTATTGCCGACACGTGGCATACAAGCTCACTTTGGCCAGGCCTCCCACATTTGCAAGGGCAGCTGCATTCTGTTGCTTTGGGCTAACTGCACCCAACTTAACTTCATGCAAAAAGAGCAGATCTGTTTTCAGCTTTTTGGGATGGCAGTCACGCCAAAAATGAAGAAAAAGTAAAAAGAAAAAAAGTCCTGCAAAACCCAAGAACCTCTAGAGTTTAGGAAGTGGTTTTTCAGAGGAAGCCTTGGAGATGGCAGGGGTTAGAGTTCCACATACAGACCTTGCCTGGCTTCCCAGTTTCAAAGTTTGCCTCAACTGTTCAAATAACCTTGGCCCAATCTTTGACAGTCCAGTCCTTATGCTTGCAACCATTTGAAGACAAGAAAGACCTCTTCTCTGAGACGCAGCTGTGAATTACAAGCTGGTGCAAGTGCTTCCAAATGGTTCCTGTTGTAACAAGGGAATTGACGTGAGTTCACAATGTCTCCAACAAATTGTAGCTTCAAATTGTCACTATTGTTACAGGACATCACAGAGCCTTGTGTTGCTCAAGCAAAATATTGTAGATTATAGGCTGTAGACTGAGGTCTTTTTTGGGCATCCACTGCATGGAAGATCCACCAGGCTCCCTGATTTGTCAAAACAGTGTATGATAATTTGGGCCCTTGATTACTGGATGGTAGCAAAGTGGCTGATCTTGCCAAGGCTCTATTCCTTTGCATGTAAGCATTGTGTTTTGTGTGATTCTGCTTCTCAGTGCAGAATTGGAGGTGATCTGAGAGATGGAGGCACCACGTTATGGGACAATGGCACAGTGATGGTGGTGGGAGGAGGCTGTTTTGACAAGATGTATGAGACTTGGTTCAGCCAACTGGGAGATTACAGAAAAGTGTTTTCCCACTGTGGAGAGAGAGCATGTGTGCAAAGGAGACAGACTCTCCTTTCTTTTTGGCACATCTTTCTGCCTAGCCTTTGTCAGATGCACTGATAAACTCAGCTTTTCGTAAAGTCTTCTGTCATCACCAGTGGTTTAATTATATCACCAGTCTGCGCATTGCAAGGAGGACAAAGAAAGTTTTCTTCCTGTTTTCTGGTTGCAACACACTGGCCAAAATCACCATCACAAGTCAGAGTTGATATCATCCCTCTGTCAGCCTCCAGACACAAACTGGCTACATAATTGGTGTCTTCCACCACCACTGTTACATGGTGGAATAGAAACCACCGTTTCCTCGGCCACAACGACAGGATGGCTGTAGGGCTGCAAAGTCCACTATAATGAGCCATAGACCCCTCACTTTTGGAATGACTAAGAACTGAAACACTTCTGTGGGAGAAGTGCAAAGTCCAGATGCCCAGCTACCATGATGTAATGCCTCATAGAGTGGTATGAGAAGACAGGGCTTTTTTCTCTCTTTCTGTTGATGATTTTTACTTATTTTTTCAGTTAGTATTTTCCTTTGTTTTTGGCTGTTTTTCCTGTTTTATCTTTATTTAATTGTTTGTTTGTGGTTGTCTCTCTGTGTGTCTTTCTTTCTTTCTGTGGCTGTGGTGACTGCCTTCATATCTGCACCAATTGTTTCTTGCCAGTTCCTCCAACCCCCTCCTCCCTGGCTCTAGTGGCTGTCTGCCAAGAAACGGCCCTTTGATTCTCTAAGCTGCCTCTCTTTGTTTGCTGGCGCAAAAAGCCCCATTTTGGTGAATCACTCTTCTATTCTCCTCTTTTTTGTTTTACTAATTGTTTTGTTGTTTTGTATGTGTTTTCCCTCCTTTTTCCCCTCCTCCCTATGCTCTCCTATTTAAACTGCTGCACCTCCCCCCCCCCCCCCCCCCCCCCCCCCCCCTATTTTGTTGAATGTTAGAACCTGTGCCTGAAGTGCCTTGCCTGCCTTTTTCTTCCTGATTGTGTGTATGAGCTGGGGGTTGCAGTCCCCTGTGTGGCAGGAGGGTTGATTCCTCTTGGCCATCATGGCAGTGTGTTGGGTTCAATCCCCAAGTGTCCCTCACCATTCTGCATGCTGGGTTTAACCCTAACCCATTTGGGTTGGACTCGTCCTCTCAGTCAATGCTTGTGAGGTCATGGTGCCACACTTCTGTGTGGGAGTGGGTTTTTAACCTTCCTTGCTTCTAAGATAGGGGATTCCTCTGTCTTGGTGAGGCAGACGTCTGTGTCCCAGTAGGATGGACTAAGAAGAGTCCCACTGTCCCGCCACCCTGTGTGCCCCCTCCTTCGATTGAGTTGGAACCTCTCTTGGGAGTGAGACAAGATGTGTCTGGTTCTGTTAAGTGGAAAACAGTTCTGGTTTGGTCCAACAGGCGTCTCTGCACACTAACTGTTCCTTGTGTTTGCCCTTTGTGTCCAACCCCCTCCAACTTAGGTCTTGTCTTTGGCAGTGAGAGGGAGCTGGTGCTCCAAGGTGGTGGCTCCAACAGGTTGGGACCTGGCCACTTGGCTGCTCTTTTTGTTTTTGTAAAGAGTTTTTTTTCTGTTTGATGATGGGCTTTAGTAGACTCCAAATACATTCTCCTGTCTGGTGACCCCTAGACTCTTTCTTTTGCCCTTTTGGATTGGTATTTAGGTCATTGCTCAATTTTCACCTTCAGCCCAGGGTGAGGAGGTTCTGAGAGCACAAGTCTCACAGGTGTGCATGTGTGACTATGCTTGTGAGCGTGGATGTGACTGTGCTTGTATCCATGTGTGAGTGGGTGTCAAGAAAAGCAGACTTGTTTGCACTCTCCACCTGCAGCAACGGGTTGGTCATCAGTGCCACTGAACAAACAAGTGTGATAATAACGCACAGAAACCGTAACAGATTTCTAGTCTGTCGCTGTTATGAATCACCCTCTGGAAACCTCTGGAACCTTCTAGAACATTCCTTCATGGAACCTTCTGGAAACTTCTGGAACCTTCTTTGCTTACCTGGCTTGTCTTGTTGTCATTGGTATCATTGGTATCATTGTATTACTAATTGCTCTTTCTGGAACTTTCTTTGAGACTTGACAAGGAAGACTCTCAAAAGGTATAAAAGGGGGATGGGGGACCTGTCCCATCCCTCAAGTGAATTATTGTTTCCAATACAATCATCACTCCTCTCAGTTCCTTGTCTGCCTTGCCCTGTCCTGCCATGTTCCTGACATCATAATTCACTTCACCCTCTCCTACTACTCTCTGCCATCATGTCTGACCCAAACATCACCTTCCCTGATGCAACTGCCTTCCAAGCCTTGATGGACCAATTACAAGCCCTTTCAAGACAGACACACCAACTTCAAGAACAAGTCCTTCACCAGCAGCACCAGCTTCAACAACTTCACCAAAAGGAACATCAAGCTCTCCCCTGCCCCAAGCCAACCAAGCAAGAGTGGGCTGGCCAAAGACCTCAGGAACTTTATGGCCACTGTGGAGAATGTCATCCTTCTCCAACCTTTAAGATTTCCCAGTGAGCAAGTCAAGGTTCTTTTCACAAGCACCCTCCTGTCTGGTCAAGCTCAATC